TCTCCGGGTTGGAGCTGCGCCAGCACGAGGGATGCAGTCCCCAACCTCTGACGTTCTCCCATCGCCGCGAGTTTGTTATTTACCGCGGTGGCGATCGACGCCAACGGACGCCGGGCCCCATCCTCTTTGCCCCCACCCCGGCCTCGCTGGTAAGAGATCACAGGGCCCCAGGGGGGGCCCTTCTATACAGGACCCCGGGCCACTTCAGGTTCTCACGAGGTATCAGACACCATGCGAATGTCTTCTACAGAAGAGCTGACCGCCACGTTCTGACGCGAAGAGACTGAGGAAGGAAAGGAGAAGGGAAGGTGCAAGTCCTAGAGGAGGACCGATTCGCGGCGGCAGTCTCAGACGGCCTAATCGAGATCGCCCCCGCGGCCCCGACCGCCGCCAGGAAGGTCCGAGAGGCCACGGCGCGGGCCCCAGCTGGTCTCGGCCTCACGAGGGGCCGCCGAGCTCGACGCAGGATCATCAAGGACAAAGAAGGGATCAGAGGAGGGGCAGTAGATTTGGAGCTTTCAGCCCACCTAAGGTCTCGGCTGAACTCGAGCGCCGCGGGGTTCCCCTTTCGCTGGATGTTCTGGCTGGAACGGACCTCCTGTCCCCCAGGGGACAGGCTCGCATGTGTGATCAGATCGACAAGGATAGTCCTGTCTCTGTGCTGATGACTCCGATGTGCAAGGCACCACCAGCGCCTTGCGGGACCCTGGGAAGCGAAGTGGGGCCGTCGTTGCGGCTGCGGAAGGCCCCCCTGGAAGCCTTTGACGTTCCGGACTCCGCGGCCACGGCTCCAGGCGAGCCTCCCTTGCGAACCCTGCCTCTTCAGCTTTCGGTGCCCCTGGGATTTCCTCCGTCGCTTCCTCGCCCCTCAAGGCAGATTACGGAGGACACTGCCCACCCTCCGCTCAGGCTGGTTCTGTCGTTCCGACCGAGTCTGCCTTTGCGGGACCAATGGTCCGCTCCCCGGCCCCCTCGGAGACCCGCCAGAACCTTGGGTCGCGGCTGGATGTTTCAGAGGGCCCAGAAGGACCGGGGCCCGCAGGCCGACGAGCTTCGCCGCCCCGGGGATCCCACCCCAAACAGTTCAGGCTGACCCTCATCGAGGAGTTCGAGGGGTCGCGACCTTCCGTCCCGGATCGAATGCAAGAACGCGAATCTCGCTGGCACGACCCGCCCCCACCCGAAACCGAGACTTTGCGCCCATCTGCGCAGGCCGCGGCAGGGGCGGAGCCCGCGGTTCCAGCACATGAAGGTCCCATGCCTCCTGCCGTACGGCGTCTGGGCTTCGGGCCGTGACATCTCGGCGCCTCGCGCTGGGCCTTCCAACCGGGCGCCGCCAGCTGTCTCTGATCGAGAGGGGCCGCGGGCCCGAAGCGGGGCCCCCCAGGGAGGCAGGTCGGTTTTCCAGGAAAGAGGAGTCACAGAGGCCGGTGAGAAGGAGGAAGCCAGCGGAGAAGAAGACCTCCAATGTGGACGGGATGAAGACCAGGTCGAGGCTTTAACCCGCGAGCTGCGAGAGTGGCCCGCTCGATCGGGGGCCCCGCCTTTGCCTCATTTTTCTTAAGAGACCTCGACGACGCGGCCAGTTTGCCGGCCGTCATCTCAGACAGTACAAGGATCGCATCTCCGTTGACCAAGACAAGTACAGTCGAGAGCAGCTAACAATGATGGCGCTTGATCGCTCTCGCCGAGCCTCTCCCTTCACACCGTGCTGCCATCGCCCAGGCGCGGTGGCTGGCCCGCGAATCTCGCCCCGACGTTGCTGGTGGCGCGTCGATTCTGGCCAGCGCGATGCCGACTCCGACCGTGGCCAACGCAATCACGTTGATTAAAGTCTGCAAGTTTTTGAAGGCTACAGCCGGCCAGAAGCCAACGATATGGGCCCTGAACTCAGTCCCTCTTATGTTCGCTACTGCCTCTGAAGCAGGAGGGCCGTTTGTCAAATCGATAGTGGGATCTAGTTTGAGATCGATAGTGAGATCTGCTGTGATATCGACAGTGATATCTGTTGTGAGATCAAGAGTATGATCGATGTGATGTCAATTGAATGAGACATTCGTTTCCCCTGCCCCCCCGAACGTCCATATCACGAGAAGGGTGGTCGTATAGATTTATGCGGTCTACGCATGGCGGTGAAAGCGCATGGGTGGAATAATGAACACGTATGTGTACATGTGTGTATGTGTTTCGCCATAGTTCACTACTTAACACGCGTATGCTCACTCTGGGCATACTGCCGGACCGCAAGCTAGTCCTCTACTGGGGGACAGGCCGCCATCTGGACCCAGAAAGCCCCCATCCCGACCAGAAGATGAAGAGCAGGAGGGTGTTCCGTTTCCTCGCCCCCTTGCTGCTCAGCGCTGGCGCAACGCGGAGACCACGCCACCAATGACGGGAATGTCGTGCATGTCTTTTTGTTGCGCACTGAATCCGATCAGTAGGAGGAGGACGACGAGGAGGTGTTGGGAGTGGAGGCGATGGTATTGTGTTCTTGTCTGGGGCCCACTCTGGGCATGGTTCGCGGTACGCAGGAGGCGTCGCGGGCATGCCAAATTGCATGGGCGGGCAGATGGGTACGAGCGCGTTTGTTCAAGTTGCATTGCTGCCAGCAGTTGACAGTGGAAGGAATGAACGTGACGTATCCATACCAAGCAGTCGCCACAAGAAACCATGATCCAAAGAGGTCCAGAGGTTGGTCGCTACTTTCTGTCCCTCAGGGTCCTGCCCGCACCCAGGGACCATGACACATTCACTCGGGATGAAGACGGTTCTAGGGGAGCCTCGCGGCGTCTCGGGCATGATTCCTTCTAGACTCCTTGGGTTCATGGTGGCCTATGGGTGCTCATGGCAAGGAACGAGAAGGGCAGACATCAAGCGACAAGCAGAAGACTCGCCCAGAGCTCACTAGAACCTCTCGCTGCCCCCAGTGCAGTCTGAGAGGATCCAGAGCCTTTAACCTGCGTGAGAACGCCCTTTGTGATTTTTTCATTCACGACCCGCAGATGTCCTATGTGCACGTGCGCATACATGCAGTGTGTATACACAGCCGCTCTGAGGTTGACCAGGATCTTTTTGAGCATATCTTGCGTTGTGGGAGTGTCGGAGAGGGCCTCTTCAGGCCTATTGGAGGGATCACCTTGAGGCTTTCTGGAGACATCTTGGGTCCACGTTGACGGCATATAGGTTCTCCTTGGGACGTTGTGGGGAGCCTTGGTTCTTGAAAGACATAATGGAGCTTGGGCGGATCCGGGCATCTCGGGGCATGCGCAAGGTCCAGGACTCGAGACAGATGGACGCATGTTGGCCGAGATGAGTTCGGCAGGTCTTGATTATTGCTCACTGCCTCGCAACGAGTGCAGTTTCTAAAACAGGGCTAGGATCGGGATAAATCGCTCCAGAGCGTTCCAGAGCGCTCTCAGAGCGTTCCGGAACGCTCTGGAGCGGCCGCGGCGCCCAGTACATCTTCCAAAGCCGCCGATTCTCAGAGATTTCGAGTTATCCCGATCCGATTTTGCCCCGATCTTCGCGTCGTTTAAGGTCCTGATTGTTGCTCACTGCCTCGCAACGAGTGCAGTTTTTCCCCTCGCCCAGAGGCCCCGCACGCCGAGCAAGGGTGCGGCAGGACACCGCGCGGCAGGGCACGGCGCCGCTCTCTGCACACGGCACTGGCACAGCGCGGCACTGCCCCACCTTGATCGCCAGTGGGCCCGATCTGTCAGCACTCAGCACGAAGCGCGGGTAGTGCGGGGGGGGGCGGCTTGGAATCGATGTACCTCCTCCTCCTCCTCCTCCCCCTCCTCCTCCCCCTCCTCCTCCTCCTCCTCCTCCTCCTCCTCCTCCTCGGGTCGCCTACGGCCCCGGGGGAAGCCGTGCAGGGGGGCGGCTTGGAATCTATGTATACATAGACATACAGACACCCTGCGAAACAGCACGTGGCATTGTACCACGCCTCGGCGTGCCAGGGGGCCGCGGTGGCGGACTGGTGGTGTCGCTGCGCAGCGGGAGAGTTTGACGTTGCCAAGGTGAGGCAGAAGAGCAAAGGGGTGATGCGGCGGAGCAGGTCCAGCGGCGATTCATACTCTTGTCCATTTTCAGGAGCTCCGCTTATTTGTTGCCCAGTTTTAGCACGAGGTGCATCTCATAATGCCCGATTGGTCACGATCATATCGATCCTACCACCGTGCGCTGGATCCAGGTTATCTTTCGCATCTGCCTTTCCTATGTCCGAAAAACATCTCCACCCATACACCGATGCAGACAGATAACCAGGAGGACTAGGAGTGTGGCAGGAAGAAGAAGAAGGAGGAGGAGGAGGAGGAGGAAGTGGAGGAGGACGAGTTGGAGATCCAGGAACGCGCCTGGGAATGCTACTCCGCGCCTTGGGGAGCATGCTTCGATGTTGTAGCAAGGCGCGTCTGTAAGTTTGCAAGGTGTGTCCGTTGCTCCTGCAAGGGCCTCTACGAGGTTCCGAAGGGCGCGTTCGGGGCCTCTGGGGAGACTCGTTGGGGTTTGTTGTCGGGAGTCTTAGGGCCGTCTTGTGTAGAATGGCTAATTCCCACACTTGCCGTCCATTCGTGGATCTCCTCTTTGGGATTACATCAGTGGGTCTACTTGGAGCTCTCTAGGAGCTTCCTGATGTTCCCCCCTTCGCCATAGCAATTAATCGTGTCTGGGAGCCTCCTGATGGATTCGCATCTCTCCAGAATTGGCAGCGCCTTTATTGATGGCCGATTGTGATGGTGATGGCGTCGGAGCTCAGTTGTGTTTGCAATCTGCTAGAAGCGAAAATCACTATTCATACCGGCGGGCCGGGCAGCAGGCATGTTCCAGATGCGATGGTGACTGTCACACAATGATGAACGATGCGAAGTGGTGTTGTTTCTGATTGTTTTGAGATTGATCCCGCTTGATGAACTGTCGCGACCATGACCATGACAAGAGTCTGTCGCAATGACCACTGCGATATTGTTAAGATGAGGATATGTATCGTGTTGAGGTTGGCGACGGCGATTCAGATAACGGTGGGGGCGACCGTGATCATGATTGCCTTCATCATCCGCTGGCCTATCGACCACTCAGCCTCGCATTAACGCTGTTGTCGAGGCCTTGCCATCGTCGAGATCCTGCGTGGACCTTCCGCCCACATGGAAGAAGAAACACATGTTGCACCATGTTGCCCCAAGTTGGGTGAACACAGTCGCGAAGAACACATTGTGTTGCAGAAGACCACGTGTCATTGTTGTTTTTTTTGCGTCGATCAGTAATTCGCTTTGTCGGTTGATTTGGACGTTGCTCCAGAGCGCAATGGTTTTCTTCACAACCGTGCAGGTGATTTGGCAGGCATTGGCAAAGCAAAAGGGGTACGTAGTTCATACGCCGATTCCAGCTGCCCGTTTCCAAATTCGCAAGATAAACTATCTTCAGTTTTATTGGCTCGGGCTCGTACATGGCAGTGGTTATGCCACGGTACCTAGTCATCCGCGCAAGGGTACGCTCCTCGCCCGCATTCGAATTCGCGTTGAGTGCGAAAGCGCTGGGAGCATGAAGTATCTTGTCGGATTCAAGATGGTTTGCAATGTGTTGTAATCTGCTCTCGCTGTTCAAGCCACCTTGTTCAATCATTGGTTAATGCACAAGTGTGTCACATTCGTGTCAGGATGCGTGTAGGGAGGTATTCATTGGAATCGGTCGCGGATGTAGACGTCTCGTTTTAGCGTGCGCACAAGATCGATTAATTCAGGGAAGCGCTTATTCGGGCTGCATCATGTCCTGTTGATTTGTTTGATCCCATCCCGAGAGGCCAGCTATCAACCAGAGCTGTTTGATGGTTGGGAGAAGGCCGGGCTTGCCATGCCCTTTCCCCTCTGCTCGGGGTCCACGGCCTGCGCCGTGCCCGCATCCTCCCAGTGCGCCCCCGCATGTGGGAGGCAGCATGGCGTCTGAAGGAGGGAGGTGCGGAAGCCGGCCAGGGAGAAGAAGGAGCAGCATCGGGGCTCAAGAGACGGGGGTCAATGCAAACGGTCAGAGCCCCGAATCATCAGGGGTAACTCGGGTCAGGGCTAACTCGGGTTCGCTTTTCGGGATTCCGAACCGAGTTACCCCGGGCCCGAGTTACCCCGGATAACTCGGGCGCCCAAAACGGGGGTCAGCCAGGGCACCAGATCCTGCAGGATCCTGCGAAGGCCCCTTCTGGCTGACCCGGGTTAGCGAGCCGCTCGTGGCCGCGAGGCGGCCGCGCGTATTGGCTGACCCGGGTTTGCGAGGACCTGCGTTGCAGTTCTTTTGTCTTGCATTGCAATTTTTGGTTTCCTGCTGACCCGGGTCTGGATCGACCCGGGTCAGAAGATCCCCGACAGCAGCAACACCGTGCACATTGACCCAAGCAGTGGTCCATATCTCGATGCTTGATCGCTCGGCCAGCAGAGTCGCGGTGCCAGGCGGGGGAGCGAGCGGGAGGAGCCCCCGAGCAAAAGAAAACGACGGGCGCGGCTGGCACGGCGACGTGCCACACCCTTGACACCGCTGCTCCGTTTCTACATCTTTCCCGTCCCAGCCTGTTAGGCAACTTTTACGGACGCGGCATCGCGGCGTCATGTGAGGCCATGGCATTTCCCTTGATGTTCTGAGCCCGAGCCTTCTCTGCGTCTGCATCGCCGTCATTATCCTCATCATGGTCCTGTTCCCGCCTCCCCCGTCCGGTCCCCGACCCCACCTCCATAGGAGGATGAGTTCTTTTTTCGCTATGGTCGTCCATCCCCTCACTTCCCCTCCCTCCCACTCCACTTTCCCCCTCTCCCTCCATCGTCTCCCACTCCCCTCCTTCCTTTCCTTCCCGCGCTCTCCTCTTTCTTTCTCGTGCATCGCATCGTTTTCTTCCTCCTGTTCCCCCCCTCTTCTTATATCATAGAAGCGGCGACAGGATCCTGGGGCTCAGGGATGGCCCACTTGTTCAAAAGCCCCCTTCCCCCAGTGCCCACGTCAGCCCCGTGGGTCCAGGACTCATTGTTCGGAGCTTTGCGTGGGTTCCTTCGTCGCGAACAGGCGTCCAAGACACGATTTCGATGTCCAGATGGATCCTGCCGAGATGGCCGAGACGTGCCCACGATGCGCCAATATATCTTCGCTTGGTCTTTAAGTGGTGTTCGCAAACTCGTGTTCTTGGTCATCGGAGCGTCCGAGACGGCCCAAGAGGCACCCACAATGTCACCCCAAGACGGCCCGCCGACGACAGGAGGTAGGATGAGGAAGGGGAGAAGGAGGTGCAGGAGGGGACAGGAGGAGAGCCTCCACGATCACAAGAACGACGATGTCGAATGCCCTGAAGCAAACGAAAGAGACTGGCATGACGGATCTTACCGTCGGAAAAATACGGATTTGTCATGTGACGTCTCCACCTTTGTGGTCTCATCTCGTGGGAAGGTGCTCGCAGCACGCATCGTGCTCTACACAACGACCATCCTCTCCCTGCACCCACTGTTCGCGCTCCAGTCGCTGGCAGAGGCGGCGCGGCGGTATTGCAGTTCGCGCCGTGGGATGAAGCAGAGGGGGGCGTCTCAATCTGTGCGTGTGTGTGTGTGCGTGGTGTGTGTGTGTGTTTTGTGTGTGTGTGTGGGCGAGGGTGTGTGTTGTCTACGCCTTGTCGACGCGCGCATGACCGCGATGCCAACAAGTGAGTGTGTGTGTGTGTGCGTGCGTGCGAGCTTGAGTGTGTGTGTGTGTGCGTACGTGCGTACGTGTTTGTGTGTGCGTTCTACGTCCTGTCGCCGCGCGCAGGGCCGCGACGCCCAAAAAGTTTGAAAGTGTGTGTGTGTGTGTGTTTGTGTGCGGTTGCGTGTGTGTGTGTGAGCGTGCGTGCGGTGTGTTTGTGTGTATGCGCGTGTGTGTGTGTTGTGTGTGGTGTGTGTGGTGTGTATGCATGCGTGCGTGCGTGCGTGCGTGCGTATGTGTGTGTGTGCATGGGTGTGTGCGTGTGGGCGTGTGTGTGTGTGTGTGTGCGTGTAAGTGTGTGCGTGTGTGTGTGTGTTTGTGTGTGTGTGTCTGTGTGTGGGCGTGTCTGTGTATGTTTGTGTGTTTGTGTTGTGTGTGTGTTTGTGTTGTGTGTTTGTGTGGGTGTGGGGGTGCGGGGGTGTGGGCGTGGATGTGGGTGTGGGTGTGGGTGTGGATGTGGATGTGGGTGTGGGTGTGCGTGTGGGTGTGGGTGTGGGTGTGTGTGTGTGGGTGCGTGTGCGTGTGCGTATGCGTGTAGGTGTGGATGTGCGTGTGCGTGTGCTTGTGCGTGTGCGTGTGCGTGCGCGTGTGCGTGTGCGTGTGCGTGCGCGTGTGCGTGTGCGTGTGCGTGTGCGTGTGTGTGTGTGGGTGTGCGTGTTGTGTGTGTTATGTGTGTGTGCGTGCGTGCGTGCGTGTGTGTGGAAGAGGGAGAAAGGGTGTGTGCGTGTGCGGGTGGGTTGTGTGGTTGTGTGTGGTGTGTGTGGGTGGTGTGGTTGGCGTGGGTGGTATGTATGTGTGTGTTTGTTGCGTGAGTGTGTGTGGATGTGCGTGGTGCTGTGTGCTGTGGTCGTGTTTGTGTGTGTGGTATGTGGGTGTGTTTGTGTATTTGTGTGGTTGTGCGTGTTTTGTGTTTGTGTGTTTGTGTATGGTGTTGTGTGTGTGCGTGTGTTTGTGGGTGTTTGTATGTGGTTGTGTGTGTGTGTTTATATGCGGTTATGTGTGTGGTTGTGTGTGGTTGTGCGTGTGTTGTGTTGTGTGTTTGTGTGTGTGCGGGGGTGTGTGTGTGTGTGCGTTTGTGCGTGTTTGTGTGTGTTTGTATGTGTTCGTGTGTGGATTTGTGTGCTTGTGTGGTGTTGTGTGTGTGGCTGGTTGTGGTGATGTGTGTGTTTGTGTGTGTTTGTGTGTGCGGTTGTGTCGTGGTGTGTGTGTGTGGTTGTGTGTGTGGTTGTGTGCGGTTGTGTGTGCTTGTGTGTTTGTGTGTGGTTGCGTGTGGCTGTTTGTGTTTGTGTGTGCTTGTGTGTGGTTGTGTGTGTGCGTGCATGCGTGCGTGCGTCTGTGTGGTTGTGTATGGTTCTGTTGTGTTGTTGTGTGTGTGGGTGTCGTTGTGTGTGTGTGTCGTTGTGTGTGCTTGTGCGTGTGTGCGTTTGTGTGTATGTGTGTGTTTGTGTGTGGTTGTGTGTTTGTGTGCTTGTGTGTGTGTGCGCTTGTGTGTGGTTATGTGTGTTTGTGTGTGCTTGTGTGTGGCTGTGTGTGTTTGTGTGTTTGTGTGTGCTTGAGTGTGTTTGTGTGTGGTTATGTGGGTTTGCGTGTGCTTGTGTGTGGTTGTGTGTGCGTGTTTGTGTGTGCTTGTGTGTTTGTGTGTTGGTGCGTGCATGCGTGTGTGCGTGCCGCCTGCCTGCGTGCCTGCGTGTGCGTGTGTGTGTGCATGCGTGCGTGCGTGTGTGTGTGGTGTGTGTGGTGTGTGCGACGTATGCGATGTGAGTGTGATGTGTGCGTGTGTGTGGGATGTGTGTGGGTTTGTGTGTGGGTGCGTGGGTGTGTGTGTGTATGTCTGTGTCTGTGTCTGTGTCTGTGTCTGTGTCTGTGTGTGTGTCTTCGTGTCTGTGTGTTTGTGTGTCTGTGGGTCTCTGTGTGTGTGAGTGCGTGTGTGCGTCGGTCTGTGTTTGTGCGTGTGGTGTGTGCTGTGTGTGCGTTCGTGCGTGCGTGTGTGCGTGCGTGCGTGCGTGCGCGCGTTGGTGCGTGCACGCGTGCGTGTGTGTGTGTGTGTCTGTGCGTGCGCGCGTGCGTGTGTATGTGTGCGCGTGTGAGTGTGTGTGTGTGTTGTTCTGTGTCTTGGTGTGTGGGTGTGTGCCTGTGTCTGTGCGTGTCTGTGTGTGTTGTGCGTGCGTGCGCGCGCACGTGAGTGTGTGTGGGTGGGTGCGTGATTTCGTGGGTGCGTGGGTTATTGTGGGTGTGCGCGTGTGTGTGTGGGTGTGTGTGTGCGGATATGTGTGTGTGCGTGCCCGGGGGGGGGATGGGTGTGGGTGTTTGTGTGCGTGTGGTTGTGTGTGTGCGTGCAAGCGTGCGTGTGTGTGTGTGTGCGTGCGTGTGTGTTGTGTGCGTGCGCGCGTGCGTGTGTGTGTGTGCGTGTGTGTGTGTGTGCGTGTGTGTATGGGTGTGGTGTGTGCGTGTATGCGTGTGTGCGTGTATGCGCCTGTGCGTCTGTGCGTCCGTGCGTGTGCGTGTACGTGTGTTTGCGTTTGTGCGTGAGTGTGTGTGTGTGTACGTGTGTTTGCGTTTGTGCGTGAGTGTGTGTGTGTGTTGTGTGTGTGTGTGCGTGCGTGCGTGTGGGTGGGTGTGGGAGTGGGTGTGAATGTGGGTGTGGGTGTGGGTGTGGGTGTGGGTGTGGGTGTGGGTGTGAATGTTGGTGCGTGCGTGCGTGCGTGCCTGCGTGCCTGTGTGTCTGCGTGCCTGCTTGCGTGCCTGCGTGCGTGCTTACCTGCGTGCGTCCTTGCGTGCGTGCGGGGGCGTGGGTCTGCGTGGGTGTGCGTGGGTGTGCGTGGGTGGGTGCGTGTATGTGGTTGCGTGTTGTTGTGTGTTTGTGCGTGCGTGCTCGGCCTTGCGTAGCCGCGCGCGCTTCACTGCCTGCACCCGGCTTTCTGCGCCCCGTCGCCGCGCGCGGAGCCGCGACACCAAAAAGTGCACATGTGTGTGCGTGCGTGTTCGGTGCCCGATGCGTACGGCCACAGCCCTCCCGGGTCCCATTTCGCAGCATGGGTTTCGGGGAGGAGGCAGGGGAAGGGAGGAAGGGGGGAGGGTGATGGAGGAGGGCGGGGGGGGGAGCGAGAAGTGGGCGGGGGGGGTTACTAGAAGGAGGAGGGAGAGAAGAGATGAGGAACGGGGGATGGGGGAGTGAGACGTAGGAGTACGCCATGAGTTTCTTGCCCTGCACGAGGAGCACGCCTCCACGAGGAGATCACCAACGGTCTCCTCGTGGAGGAGTACGCCTCCACGAGGAGACCGTTGGTGATCTGGCTGCGCTGCAGGAGTGAGTTGCCGCACCCGACCACAAAGGCACGGCAGGGGCTTCCGTGGGTCGACTCGGCTGGAGCGCCGAGTCGGCACCGCCATCGGCCTCCAATGCCAATGCGATGCCAAACCATGGCCAAACCAATGCCTATGCAATGCCAAGCGGGGTATGTATTTCTTTCGAAGCATCTCAATAGCAAAAAGCTATACTCTTTTTTTTGTCACATCTACGGCTACATGCCCCTCCCGAGGGGGCTCTTCAGTCTGACTCGTCTTGGGCAGAGTCAGCACGAGCAACAATTAAAGGCTGCTCGTCTTCTTCCTGTCTGAGAGAATCGGCCACACTCCTGAGAACGGAACTGGACGATCCGGGCACCGCTGCAGCGGCTGCGGAGCCCGCCGAGGAGAAGAGGAATAGGGAGGCTTCCTCCTCGGCATCGAAATTACAAACAGCACCACACGAGAGGCCACTTTCGCCTCCCCTCAAAGGAGATGGAGGGAGCCTAGGCCTCTCGTGCTAGACATCTCCCACCTCCTCCGCCTCAGAAGCTGCATCGGCGTCGGCAGACAAAGCCTGAACAGGCGAGATGGAGGCGCCGACAGTCCACGGCGAAGGAAGAAACTGGACATTGCGAATCCGTTTCTTCTCCTGTGGGTGACGGCCAGAACAAACATACTTCCAGTTTGTGCGCCCAGCTCCGCCTTCATCTGGGAGACAGGGCTTGGCCAGATGCACAATTCTGCCACATGTGCTGTAGTGGTGGCATTTGAGACAGATACATAAAATGAGCCATCTGTCACACTGGTGGTTATTACCTGAAGTCAAGTCAATGTTCAACCGAGGAGGCTTAGCACAACGACCGGGCGGCGGGCGATCAGCACCGCGCTTTCCTCGGAGGCAAATTCGACACTGCCAAAATGAGCTCACCCACTCCCACTCGTGGGAGCGGTGGTCGGCGGGCAGCTTTGCAGGAGGCTTGACATATTCTACCTCAGAGAGGTCACACTTCGGCTAGAGAGGCAGCAGCTTACAAGCCAGTTTGATCATCGCTTTGCTAGCACGAATGTGAAAATCAATTCTGTCTTGGACATCGGGCTCGGGACGGGGGTGTAACCCAGCACCCTTCCTAGCCGCCAAGTCGGCGTGGAAGTTGCCCTTCCGTCGGAAACGTTCAACATCAGTTACATTTGGGTCGTCGACATCCTTGTGAGCCGCGACCTTGATAACGTCCTGGACTTTTCCCGAGGCGCCCGAAAAACACTCGAGGACAGAGCCTGCATAGACTCGCTTCCCGGACAAACGGTCCACGGGATCCCGAGAACACACAGAAACCACACTCGCACAGTCAGAATAAATGCACGTTGGGTCGTCGAGGTTCACTCCAGCAGCTGCCAGTGCAGAGAATTCCCCTGCCTGAGGAGTCTGCGGGAGGTGGCCAAACACTGGGCCATAGCACCAACCTAAGGGTTCGCCGTTGTCGGCGACTCTGACGAAAGCCCAACCT